TCTGAAACGAGACTAATTTTTCACTATTTTAACCGCTGGCTATGGCACTAAATATTATTTTATTTTTTTTAAAGTATGTAACTCCAGATTGCAAGCTATCAGACCAGAAAAGGGGGGAAAAAAAAATAGCTAAGTTAGCTTAGTTCACATTTGAAATTTCAAGTGCAATGTCTTCGCCGACTGCTTTACTTTCCAATTGAAATCCGTATAAAGTTTATTTGGAAACGTGAATGTTTATGTGAAAGCAGACAACCCGCTTTTCTCTACAAGGCTAACGGTAGCGCTAGCCCGCATTTCTGCAGGAAATACAGAAAGATAAAATACACATTATACATGGGTATAGGGGAAAGAACTGTATCACTTAGGCTATAAGTATATTACTCCCAAAATAAAGCGTCGCTAAATTTCCAAGGGGGAAGTTGAGGAGGGGGAAACCTGAGGGGGTGTGTGTGTGTGTGCGGTAGGCCTGAGCTGATAGATGCGGCGAAGGAGCCGGAGAGGCTTTGCCAGCTCCCCTCGGTTTAGCGCTGCGCGTTAAAGGGAGGCGCCGGGGGCTGCGCAGGATGGCTGTGGCAAATCCAGCATCTCTCTGCCCTGGCTCACACAGCCTTGGCTTCGTGTCCCCCAAGCCCCAGGTTTGGGGGTGCACGAGCTCATCCTCTGGGAAAGTGAACGGGAAATAATGATTTTTAACTTTTGGGTGCTGCACGTGGACTTAATTTTGTGCGGCGAGGGGTAGGGGGGAAGGAGTTGATCTTTACTTCGTTGGTAACTTTTGATAGAGCAGGAGGAGAGAGAAGGGGTTCAAAAAAACCCGTTGGCCGCCCAGGTTTGGGGTTTGTTTTTTTTAGCAGCGCTGCCCTCTCTATAAAGCGCTCGGCGCCGCTTCGCGCGGTGACAAGAAACCGGTAAAAAACAACTAAATGCGGGAAACGAGCAGCTTTTCTGAGCTCTCCCCCTGGGCGCCGAGGGGGGCCTGTCCCCGTCCTGCCCCCCTCGAGCTCCCGCCGGGACCCCGGCCGCACTCCCCGCCGCCGGGCCCTTTCCCCGCGGCCGAGCCCCGTGGGGCAGCGGGGATGCTGGCAGGGGAATGGGGACCCCCGTGGAGAGCCCGCGGAGCCCCAGCCCCCCGCCCCGCCGCCCTCCCGGCCGGTGCCAGCCCCACAGCG